TGAGATAAAAGATCAAGGAAAGCGCTTTAGAATTCTATCCAATTTGCGTCTTCAAAAGCATTTTGCTCTTTATGTCTCGTGATTGAGTAGGTGAGGCTGAGGGAGCTTCTTCACTCTTCTGTTGAAAGAGATGGAAGAACAGAAAAATAAATTAATAGGAAATGTTTTATTTAAGGCAGGTGTACCCAACCCATGGCCCTCAACAGCTTAAAATTTGGCCCATGATATAAACTTTTCATATTATTGTGTGACTTTCATTTATTTTTCATCTTTATTAGCACCTGTTTACAGTACATACTGACTACATTCCTCATGGGGAGTTGGTCTGTGTGCATAACACATCTCAATTTTTTTATGTCTCCTTCCCCCTTCATCTCTTAGATCCCAATTGATAAAGATCTATCTCCCTGCATTTCTTTTATCAGTCTTTTATTTTGCTTCTTCATTTATGCTTTGGGTTTCTCATATAAAAGAAACCATACAATATTTAACCTTCTGGGTCTGATTTAGTTCACTTAACATTGTGGTTCCAAGGTGCATCCATTTTCCTACAAATGACTCAAATTTATACTTCTTTATAACAGAGTAGTGCTCTATTGCGTATAAATACCACATTTTCTATATCCATTCATCTGTTGATGTGCATATAGATGGCTGCCAAGGGTTATCTATTAGGAATGATGCCGCTATAAATATGGGTATATAGGAATCAGTATATGACGTCTTTAGCATTTTGGGAAAGATATCTGCAAGAGGAATAGCGGGGTGGAATGGGACTTAGCAGTATTTTTCATGACTGGATTGCCTGGTGCTCCAGCCTGGACTGTGTAGGCAACAAAAGGATGACTAGTGCAGTACTCTGCCAGCTATGCAGAGCACACAGGCACATTGCAGCCCGCGTGTGTCACTCAGGGCACATGGCTGTGTGGCTTGGTGGGTACAGAGCAACGATTACTCACAACAATGTTTCAGTCGTGTGCCTGTGAAGACGGGCATTTATTGTTATTAAGGAGACGTGGAAATGTTCTTAATCATTAAACTTGGCTCATTGAATCATCGTATAAAATAATTTAATCCATTAAAATACAAAGAATAAAGGCAGTTTTGTTACTTGTATGCATTAACAGAATTACAGATTTTTTTATGTAGCTCAAGACGAGTCTTCCCTCAGACCGAGGCAAGCAGGAATGTTGGACATCCGTGGTTTAAGGATTTCTATTGGTCTTTCTGATAGATAATCTATATCCTCTTCTTTCTTATTATTTTCATTCACTTCTATCTACATATTTCCTTAGACTCCTTCACAGTGACTTTGATTCTTGAAATTATTATAAATATGTCAGGGTTCTTGGTGTGATTAAATGGAGCCTCTCCTGTAGAACCACTGGAGGTGCCTAAGATGCAGACTCTTTAGCTCCCACAGCATCTGTAGATGCAGATTCTTCTGACAACATGTGCTATGCATCATGGGTTAGCAGGAGAAAAGTTACTTCTCTCACTCAAAAAGTTTAGGGCCCGCAATCTAAGACTGGTAAGCAGCACCATAAAGGCTTCACGGATGAAGCCTGGCTTTTCACCCTTCAGCTAGGCAAGGCCATATTCATTGCCTCCAGGATCCAGTCAGCTGGACAAACCCATGGCAAAGGACCGCTAGGAAATCTCAGGCTGGATGCATGGGCTACCCAAATCAAATTCTGGAAAGGGAATATGGGTATGGGCAACTAGCAATCCTTAGCATCTACACAACCCATTCCTAGGGCTTGGAAGGTTGCAATCTCTATCCAGCACTGACAGTGGTTCTTATAGCACAGTTATCTTCTTAACCAGTCTGCCCGATGCTCATTCTCCCTCACTTTCCATAACCTCTCAGTTCCTTTCTCAGATTCACAGTGCTTCCCTGAAGTGGCATCACTTCCTCATCCTCCCAGAGAGTCCTCAGGAACCACAGTGTAGGCCCCAGAGTAATTGGGTACTTTTGTTTCCTGTTGGATACTCTGATTTCAAATGGAAAATGCTCAGTATCATAAAATGTTAAAACTATTATGAGTTTGGATGCAAATCAGAAAGCTAATTGATTTGATAGTTATCCTCTTCTAACTTCTGATTAGAGATAGCTTGTTGGATACTTCATCTCTGAAATGAACATTGAGATATGCGGATTTTTCTTTAAAGGACTTTCCATTCATTAAGTGGAAACTCCATATTTTCACCAAGTCACCTTGACTGGACTGGCAATATATAGGTTAGTAATTCTCAAAGCAGTTGGAAAACTAAGCACTATTTCATCTTAGTACTTTGACTTGGTTAGAGTAAAATTTATATTTTGAATTTCAACTGACATTTATCAAATGGGCCCAAGAATATAAACTATAGATTAAAACACACACACACACACACACACACACACACACCCCACTGAAAAACTATACAAAAACAGTGATGAAAATTCCAAGGGAAGGTTTCTCTGACCAGTGTTTGTGAAACTGCAGAATTTAGCACTTTCCTTATCAAATCTGAAGGAAAATGCTTCCATTAGCTGTGAAGAGATAAATCAAATAAGTTTGTATATTTTCTTTAACTGAGTGAGAATCCTCTTAGAAACATACATACCTTGTTGTTGCAAGTGCGTCTCATGGTAAGTAGTGTCTGGATACCTCCGAATAATAAGGTAAACATTTTAAACCGTTCCCAACATGAGTGTTTTGTAGTTTGTCCTTTGCATATAGAAGAGGTTGTGTGAACCTTTCGATATCTTTGCAGCATTTATGAGTAGCACTGGGCTCTTTTTTTTCTTTCTGATTGCCAAGGTATCAAGTTACCATCAAAATTTCCTCCTTTATAGAAGGAAGTAGTGCATGGTTTTAAGGGACACAACATTTTGAGTCATCGGGCCCGCGCTGTGTGTATACCAGCGGCCATGCTGGTAACAAAGGCCTTACCTAGTAACAGGATGACTAATGTCTGAGCAGAGATTCCCTTAGGTCCTGTGTAAAGCCAAAGGTGACACAGAGGAGAGAACTAAGCTGTCTTTAAGGAAGTTACTCTTGGGCTACTGGCGCTGCTGAAAATTACTTTGGATATACAGAGCACATGCAGAAAGATCTACTCCAGCAAGTGTCTGGCTAACAGACCAGTCAGCGCAAAAAAATAACAAATCAGCAAATACAAATAATTTCACCTTCTTGAGACTTTATTCTTTCATCTATAAGTCTAGTAAAATTGGACTATATGATTTGGGATGCTTCCAGAAATCACTGGAATTGACTGTGTAAACATTGCTGAAAGAGACCAGTGTTGCCTAGAGTTCCACTGGAATGATAGGAACTTGTCTGATAAACCTATTAAGTAGATGCTCCCCCAAATTCTCATAGGTTTTCCATTCCTCAAGAGTTTTGCACACATGTGTGTGCGCACACGCACACACACACTCACCCCTGAAGCAAAACTTATACTACTCCTCTTTGTATATACTAAGTGTAGACTTCCTTCACTATCCAGCCCCTCCAGTCAGGACCCCCCACTGACCCCAGCCTGGGACATCCCATGTAGGAACTGCCTACATTTTGGTGGTCTATTCTCATCTGATTACTTAATTGATCAGTTTTTTAAAATCTTATTTACAAGTCTTGAGAGTCCTCTTAAGTATTCTCTGTACAAATATTTATCCGGTAGATGATCTACATTTTATCTCCCAGTTACTTTCAGTTGCTTAACTGCATAATTTATGCTTTTTTGATTTGACATATAATGTATTCTTTTTTGTTTTGAAAGCTTGTTTCCTTGTATGAGGGCTGTCAGTGAATTTTGAATCCTAACCTTGGGATCAAAGGAAAATTAGCTAATGCTCTTAAATCCTAGTGTCTTCCTTCTTGTGTCAAATAGCTTTTCTGAGTAAAATTTAACATCACTTGAATTAAGAAGCAACAGCCACTTAAGCTTAATAGTGTTTTATAGCATTTGAACATTTATACTTTTAGTCATTTGTCAGCCTATCATCTTTTGTAATTGCTTATATCATAAAATAAAGTGTTATAAATCTTAGTGTTACATTGGTTACCTTTCAGTTTTTCCTGTCTCAATCTAGTCAGGAGTTTGACAACCTTGAGAAATCAAGGCAACTGAAAGGTAGCTCGGAATCTTAATGTATGGGCTCTAGGGAATCAGAAAACCTAGACTGGTCCTATCTTCTTTAATCAGTATAACTGTGATCTAGACCAAGCAGCTTTTTGCCTGTCTTCTCATCTCTTAGATGAAGATAAATGTCTTTCCTAGGTGACAGATTAGTATGGTAACCTATAGTAAGGGAATGGTTTATAAGCCCATTTTTATGAATCAATAGTAATAATGAAGTAGCAGAATCTACCCAAAATTATAAATTATTTAAAAAGAACAATATTTAGAGAACTCCCCAACTGATCCTTCTTATAATCAATCAACCAGTTGTGCTACACCTTGTTCTAAGACCCTGGTTTTCGTGTGCATGCTTCTTACAGGACACCAATCTTACAATTGAGTCAAAAGCGGATACAGCCTAGAGATGTGAAGGAAAGATGATTGAGAACATGATCTACTTATCTCTTGTCCAGTCCTAATCTCTCAGGCTGAAGTTTTAGCCACTGCACTTATCTCCTTCCTGCAAACTTCATTTCCTTCTTATTTCTCCCTCCACTTCCCACTTTCATTGTTTTTTCTCAAATGCCTCTATTCTCTTAGAACAAGGGAAGAGGAGAAAGAACCACAATCTTGATAGCCTTGGTGCTGTCATATTGAAGCTTATGGTGAAGGTGTGGGTGCAGAGAGCCTAAAGCCCTTAATTGTGTACTCAAGTGAATCATCGGCTACTTCTGCTTTATAGATCATGGTTCTGGGTGGATGTCCTTACTCCCACCCATGTATGTTGCTGTGGAATAGAAGATATTCACTGATAGTATTATTCTTGGGGTCAGTGGGGCCATGACCAATGTATGACTCCATGAGAATTTTTTTATATTTATTTCTAGGTCAGGAGCGGTTTGGCAACATGACACGAGTATACTACAAGGAAGCTGTTGGGGCTTTTGTAGTCTTTGATATATCAAGAGGTTCCACATTTGAGGCAGTGTTAAAATGGAAAAACGATCTGGATAGTAAAGTTCATCTGCCCAATGGCAGCCCTATTCCTGCTGTCCTCCTAGCTAACAAATGTGACCAGAGCCGGGACAGTGGCCATAACCCTTCCCAGATGGACCAATTCTGCAAAGACCATGGCTTTTCTGGATGGTTTGAAACTTCTGCCAAGGTGAGATCTGCTTTGCTGATGAGCTAGCTCGTCTGTTTACCTTGTCAGTCTGAGTTGTGACTAGAATATTTAGATAGATTTAAAGCCAGAAAAAGAAAAGCGTAGCGTGAATGTGTAATAGCTTCCCTCATTCTGTACTAGGAGCGCTTTCAAAATATATTAATAAGGAAGTGAAATAAGGGTAGATTTTTGCCTTAAAATAAAAATTAATTACTATTTACAGGAAACATCAAGTAATGTTTTCTTTGAATTTTGAGTTTTTTACTGAGATACTGTTCATGCTACAGAAGTAAGTGAAAGATATATTTTCAAGCACAAACATTTTTTTCTTCTAAAAAAGGCTTAAAGAACTAATGCCCGTACGTGAAGATTATGAGATATGATCAGCAAATGTTTCAATTAAAAAGTGTATTACAGTCAGAGACACATTGCTCTCAGTGCCCCACAAGATACTCCGCCTCTCTTCAAACGCACTTATCTTACCGTCTTGGCCATTTTCTGAAGCACTTGTGGAAGTCCTCTTTCATGTCTTGAATCTTGCTGTGGAACCTCCTCACTATCCTGCGTTTATTAAAAGACATTGGCTTTCCAAGGTCATTGCCACTCCAGGGAAGAGTCACAGGTCATCTGGTGCCAGACCCGGTGACTGAGGTGGAGCAGGACACACAGTAATGTTTTTTTGAGCTGCCCTTCCAGTGGGTGGCACCTGGCAGCAGCGCTCTCCATGTCTGTTTAATCACGCCTCATAAAGACACTCCAGAGCTGCTTCTGAAAGTAGCAAGAACAACAAGATATTTGGGTTCAAAGTGAAGAGGGGCATTTTGAGGGGGATTAATGGCAATGTGCCTTTTACTGTGGTACAGTTTTTTTTTTTTCATTTAGACACTCACCATATAATTTGTCACACCCTCTAGGCCATATGCAACACAAAGAGATTGAATGCTTAACAAGTAAATGTACTGAGCTGTTTGTAGAGCTTTACATCAACTCTGTATGAAGAGATTTGAACAAGAGCAAAAGGTCAGCATTTGTAAAATGCTTCTTCATCAATACTGATTTTTTTCCTTGCTAATTGGGAATTGGACAAAATGTGCTTTGAAAGAAAAAAACACTAATGAAGACTTTGAAAATCTTAACCATCTAGACATGCAAGAAAGCAAAGGTGAATTTCAGAAGTACACAATATTGGGAGAGTTCAGTGCCCTGGATGTTTCACAGGAGAGGGTTAAACAACAAAATCAGAAGTATAAAATGATACGTTTGACACATTCTACGTGGAGAAACACTAAGTCATACATTTGTGTATTTATGACACAGTTCCAGGTTTAATAAGTGTTGTACGGATCTTTTTTGTTTGATTTTTTTTTTTTTTTTTTTTTTTTTTTTTTGATACTGGGGATCAAACTCGGGACCTTGTGCTTGTGAGGCAGATGGCAGAACCACTGAGCTAAATCCCTGGCCCATGTGGATCTCCTTTGTACATGTGCACAAGTATCATCATTCCTGCAGTCGTTCCCCTCATTCTGGAGACCATGGTAGTAACAGGTGACTCTGGGCTGTGTGGGAAATTAACCCTCAAAGCGCAACAGTATTAGATGCCAGTGATGACCAGAGTGGCAGCAGGGAGGGCAGCCGCTGGTTAAGGACAGAGTCCTTGGAGGGAAAGAATGTATCCTCGGGTTATCTTTCCTAATCCACAGGCTGTTGGTTTCAATAAATACAACATCTGATTTATTTTTTATAATTTTTTCTTTTATGAAAAAAAAAAACCCAAAATTTCACAACAAAATACTAACAGAAGTATGACAGTTAAGACACTGTCTGCTGTTAGCTTCAGAGTAGTTAGCGGTGCTGCATGAAACCTTACCTGCCAGGAGGAGAAGGAAAAGCTTGTAAGAGAGAAGGACTTGGTCTGGCAGTCAGGCTTCTGACCACTGTGTAATTTGCCATAACTTTTCTGGCTTCATTAACAAAAATAGCAGCGTATATAAATATGTTATGTGAGCATGTAGTTGGTTGGAGGTATTCCGTATTCCAGATAAAATAACAACTTTAGGCATAATTTGAATAAATCTTAATTATAAAAATCTAACATTTTGCACAGAACCCACATGTAAGATTCATGCGTGATGTCACATGGTCTATAATTTGAGAACGTGCAAGTGACCAGCTTTATTTTATTCATAGACAAGATTACATGTAGAGTTTAGAGGATAAAATTGGTTTAAAGACCCAAGTGTGTTCTGTGCGTCCCTACAAATATACTAGAAACAACTTCTGAAGAATTTCCTATGTACTACAGAGGGAATTTTCAGAGTATAACAGTAATGTAAGTTTTAAGTGAAAAATCTGTGGTCCAGTACTTATAGCACTTCTTAAGTGTGACCTATAGATACACTAGATATACATACACACATACACGCACACATAGATGTATAAATAGGTAAAGTAGGTAGAGAAGTATAAGTGTACATGTACATATATCTACTACTCTTATCTGTTAAGAGGGCTTGGAAACGAGGACACCATAAGAAAGAATGGGCTTTCGTAGTCCTTAGTATTTGTTGTTGCTGCTGGTGATTGAACCCAGGACCTCATGCATGCTAGGCAAGTGCTCTACCACTGAGCTACTCTTCTGGTTCCAGAATTTGACTTTTAAATACAGTTTTCCAGTAAGCAGGAAGAACACACCTAGGAAAATAACTGATTCTGCAGCTAGTGGGACTAGAAAGTTAAGATTGTCTGAGATATTTTGTGGTGTCAGAACCTAAAGAAGTACTCGAAGAAATGGTGGAGACATGTCACAGAGACACAGGAGCTTCTCTAGCGGCTTTAGAAATCCAAAGCAATTGGAGCACTGAAGTTAAAAGTTATCTCACAGAGTTAAATCACCATGACATGCACAAACAAATGTCAAATACCTGGACAATAGAATCATTTTTTAAAAATAGAGTCCCAACTCATAAATACAGAAAGGAAATAAAAAGGCACCATTAAACACCATGTTAAAAATTGTTTCACAGGAGAATTAATAGGTGCTGTAATTGGTAAGGGAAAGGATGGTGGGAAATAGGAAACTTAAGTAGCGTGCTTACTTAGTACAAAAGAAAAACTCTTAGGTGAGGAGCCTGGCAGCATGACTTCAGTGAATTTCCTGATACTCTGAGAAGGACACAGACTCCTATCTTGCTCCTGCCAAGAATGTAAAACTTCAATTTAATTGTAGTGAAATATTAACAGACCCAGATTGAGAGATATTTTCTGGTTAGTGCTCCCCATGAGTATCAGGGTCATGGACTACAAAGAAACGGAGTTCCTGTTCCGGATTGAAGGAGACCTGGGAGATGTGACAGCAAAATACAGCTTCTGATCCTGCATCATGCAAAGGCCCTGAGATAGCTGGGGAAATAGAAATAGGGTTGACATGATACTGTTTCCCAATTTCCTGGTTTCTGCGCCTACACTGTGGTTGTGTAAACTGTTGATCTTTGAGGAACGTGTGTGAAGTTTACCCAGGAAATTTTACTACATTTTTTGCGTGTTGTTGGAGATGTGACATTATATTAAATGGTAAACAATAGTATTTTCTGTGTGTTGTCAATTGTGAGTTTTGGGAAGATTTATGCAAATCTTCTCACAGTGCTGTGAGAGCGAATGACTCTTCGGGTTTCCTTAATGGGCACCACACGACGTGATTGTAGGCTAATTATGCATGATGATTTAAAATATTAATTTATACTCACAGATGGAAGAACAACATGATACATTGAACATATTTTGATGTGGTTTAAGCCCCTTTTACATTTTCCTTCACAGTGCATCCTGAATACTTTAGGTATAAATTCTAGGGCAGAAATTTCCCAATCAGAGTGCTTTCTGCTGTGCGTAGCAACCTGGAACAGGATGGCTCATTTTCAACCATCAAGAGAGCTCTCAGAACCTAAGTGTCCAAAGTTTAAAACAGGGACATCAGAAAAGATAATCCGTGGTTAGAAAAATAAAATAAAAAAATTCTTCCTGCAGCTACACGATTCAATAACATTGAACTCAGTATGCAGACATACGAGTTTTAGAGAAAATGGTCGCTGGTGTACTTAGTGTCCCCTCTGACAATTCTCCCCATTTCCCTCAATACTCAACCCTTTCTTCTGAGAACTGATGTAGTGGTGGCATTGATCCTACTCTTTGCTTCTTTGTTACAGGATAATATAAACATAGATGAAGCAGCCCGCTTCCTGGTGGAAAACATTCTTGCCAACTGTAAGAACTTTCCCAGTGAAGACAGTGATGTGGACAAAATTAAACTGGATCAGGAGACCTTCATGGGAGAGCGCCGGGCTCAGTGCTGCTAGTTGGCCTTTGCCTCCCCTGTCTGCCTTGGTCCTGAGCATGTGTCAGGAATGGTCAGGTGTTTCTGTGGGCTGTGGATCTCCCACCCGTGTCCTTCACAGTCCGGTTCCACAGGGCTCCTCTGGTCATTTAAAACCAGAAGAGGTGGAGAAGTAACCCCACTTGCATTTCTGTGCTTTAACGGATGACCCGAGGCTTCGATGCTGTCACCATCCTATGGAGGATAATGTTTACATCCTTTTAAACATCTTTGTAAGTGACTTCCTGGTTGTAGTTTCCAGTGTAAGCACTGGGGTGGTTGTCAAACTGCCCTGCAGTGCGCCTATGATGTTGAGTCAGTATCTATAGTCCATCTTCACTCTTAAGAGATTTTTAGACTCCGTTGGCCACAGGCACTTGAAGTTATTGTTTAGAAATGATTTTCTCTTCACCACTCTGGTACTTTGTGTAAATTTTTTTCCCTTAAATGCTGTGAGTCCAACAGTCATGGTCTGTGGTATGTGGTCACACTTCTTAACTGTTGTTATCCTTTCTGATTTCTCAGCAAAGGACTCCTACCAATGCTGTATTGTGGATGTCTTCTTCTGGACCTGATTGCTACCACTTGGAAACAGTCTAAATGATTTTTTTCTCTCCCTAGTCCTGTCTTTTCTCCCTTCATTATGTTTATGTTTCCAACCAAGGACCTTACTGATATTACTGTTCCATTTCTCTCTTCCTAGAGCTGAAGAGTACTTTTCAAGAGTACTTTTCTGATTTGTAATGGTAGTAGTCAAGAAGAGAATTTTTTTCCAAAGCACTTACAATTCTATCTGAGCTTCTAAAGTACAAATTGTGAAAGAAATTAGGTCAAGTATGATTTTACATAAAATTTTGGACATTTAGTGTAGTGGTTGAAAACTTCAACAATGTTTGTATTGTCATTAAACCCAGTGAATAAAAAGAATAAATATTTTAGGTGAAATCTGTGGCCCGTCTTTTGAATTAACGTAGTTGTAAGAAGCTATTTTTCTGCCTTAGAACATTTTGTTTACTTCTGCTTTTTATTTTCAAGGGGCTTAATTATGTGAAAGATCCAACTTGTTTCTTTCAAAGAAATGGTAGGGTTTTTTATGTCTTAAGTCAGAGCTAATGCCAAATGAGACATTGATAAGTTTGCCTCATATATTTGGTGGGCTTGATAGGAAAGATACATCCATTTGCTGAAAATGAGAAGAGCCAACATGGAACTGTGTTTTCTCTGACAAGTATAATCTGGAAATAAATAGAAGCTGTCATAGGCCAGAAATATAGCCTTCTATTCTCATTAAACCTAAGTCTTGCCTACAAAGCACAAGTTTGTTTATATACTGTATGTTTGAATAAAAAAGAAATCCTTTGACTTCTTTCAACATGTGTTCTATGTGGGAGACGGCAATACTGATTATGCCCCAAGCAGGCTGTCAGCAGTGCAGGCTGTAAGAGGTAACCTCACAACTGGCTTGTGTATAGAAGTGAGTCTGGCTGAACCCTATGTGCCATGTGAGGTCAGAGTGACTTGCACCCAAATTCCATTCCCACAACTAGAACCTTCTTAACTAGAAGGGCAATGTTCTAACTATAACCATATATTTTGTCTAGTCTGTTCCTAATTTGAGAATATTTTGTCTTGTCTTTTATGAACTTTGTTTACATTAATTTCCATAGAAACCGCATGACTGCCCATCCTTACATGTAGTTCCACCCTTGCACGTAGCTTGCCTTTACCCTAATTGATTACCAGTAAAAATCAATGGCTTGAACTGGCCAGCGCCTTTGTCAGTTCCACTGACATTGGTTGTCCTGGCCCCCATTTCCTGTCTCTTTTAGTTCTGTTTTAGTTTTTTTCTCAGGCCTATGTTGTACACTGGGCAGGACACAGGAGCCTACTGCGGAGGTTTCTGGTCATGTTGCAGGGGTCACCAGTACTCTACATAGAATCAGATTTCCTGAGGTGAAAGAATACAAAGCCTTGCTTAATTAATATTTCCATTAATGTAACTCCTTTTATTATCTCTAATGAGAATAAGAATCAAACCTTGCTTTCTAAGGCATATATCATACTTTATTACATTTGAATTCAGGGTAAGCTACATAAATGGCTAAGTGAAAGAAGAGAAATTTTGGTTCCTTTATTCACTTTGAAAAGTAACATATGTACACAAACACACACACAATGGCTTACACACTGTACAGAATACTTTAAGAATGAAAGGATATGCATTTCTTCTTTACATGTCTTATGTATTATAAAAATGTCAAGGTTTAACCTTCTATGTATTGATCCATAAGCCACTAATGTTTCTTAAAGTGATTGCTGTCGAAAATGGTGATTTTCCAGAGGTGTGATTTGGTCTCCTGAGATACCCACATAAAGCACCTCAGGTGCTCAGTGAAAGTTCCCAAGACTTACTGTAGACTTGCTGGGTTCATTTTCTAAGGATGGAGCTCAGAAATGCTTTTGCAGATAATCTGATGTTTATTTTGAAAATGTACACTAAGTAGCAAATAGTAAAATGTTATTCAGTTTAAAATCTGTGGTATTACTCAAAACATGAGCACTTAAAAAATATACCACTTTCATTTCCACTTGCAAATCGTTGTTATTAGAAGTCTGAAAGCCTTGAACAATGGAAAGGCACTATAAACTTGCTTTCATTCACTGAGCAGGACAAAACATTCTTATGGTTTTGGCAGTGTGAACTGACCTTCTAATATTATTGCTACCAATGATTAGTCATTTTTGGGAAAAAAGTAAATCATAATTTCACCCCAAAATGATATATGGAAATTATCATAAATGCAAAAATAAAAGTATAAAAAGTCTAGTTTGGAAGGAAACATTTTTGATTTGGATTTTAGAAAATCCTTTTGCATTCTCAAATGCTTAAAATCAAAGAGGGAAAGACAGGTACATTGGATTACATCAAAATGTCTTATACACTAAGCCTCTATCAGTAAAATTATATGCAACAGACAAAAGAAAATAGCATATGTATAACTTGTCTAATTAGATGAAGATTAATAAGCAGTATAGTAAAAACTCAATCAGTAAAAATGGACAAATAATATAAAACCAGCAGTATTACCAAAGGGGTAATTCATATGTCAAATATTAGTAAGATGTAACCCTTAAAAATATAAAACTTGTCAAATTCATAAAAACTACTGGATTGATCATATCCTTGATTTGGGCAAACAAACAGGAAAATAGACGAAATTTATCTTAATAGATATTTCCAAGTTACCTTCTAAAACTGCTATTCTGTTTTCACTTTTAGTCCATATCTTGCCCAGAAGTGAAACTGTTACATTTAAGGAAGTAAAATTAAAAACAAAATCCCTTCCCAACTCAGAGAACCACTCTGTAAAGATAGAAGATAAAGAAAACTCTTTTATCATTTCACACTGAATAAGTATTAAACCAGAATGTTATATGCATTATAGGCAATTCAGTGAGAATACAAAGACAGGAGGAAATTTCGCTCGTAGATAGCCAGGACTATTTAACATGTTACATGACTATTTAAAAAAAAGGAACAGAGCCAACCCTCCCCAGAGGATTTGGCCTCATCTGAGACACACAGTTCGTCTCATATCCACTTGGTAACTGGTATGATCATGAGTCATAGGTAATTGGCTTTATCTGTGGGAAAAAAACAACTTTTCACATCTTGATTGTAAGAGTTCTGTGACTTGGCTCAAGTTACTAAAGGTAGACTTCTGGAAGTGAAGCTGAGACAGAGGTGTTATATTTCAAAGAGATGACTCCCAGGACTCCAGAAAGTTGGTGAGATGCCAGTTTAGCTCATAAGATGATTTGCATTCATTTCAAGAGAACGAATGGAAAGCTTTCTAATGTAATATTCTCAGGAAAGGGGAATTAACTTTTCCTTTTTAGTTTATGTCTTCACTTACCATCAACCCTGTATGAAAATGTGCTTGTGTGTACACAGAATAAGTGCGTTCGCTGCTCATTGTTCCTGTATATTTTGTACTCCAAGAAAAAAATTAGAAATAATTTAAATGCCCCTTTTCAGGGAAGAAACAAAATGAACAATTATATATACACCCTGGGAGGTACTGAGCAGCAGTGTGGGGACATTTTTGTTAAAATATGTGTTAAGAATTTAAAGGCTTTGTAAACTGTATGGAAACTAATTGCAGCTGTCTCTGAGAAGTTTGGATTTGGGATAGTTGGATAAAACAGACTTTATCTTTTTAGAAAGTTATATTTTTATGGCAATGGAGTACAGATGTTAGTAACAATTCACATTACACTGGTCACTATACTTGTTACACTGTCATTAAAAAGAAAAGAAGCATTGTCATTTGGAACACAATGCTTTAAACAAAAGCTAGTTCCACCCGTCTTGCTTTTCACTACGTTAAATAACATCACCAATAATTTTGTTCTTTTCAGATCTTAAATATATTATTTTTTAACAAATTAAATAACTTCTTAAAGATTGATAGCTCTAATATTCAGCTCAGCGTACATCTACATTTGCAGGGAGTCGGTATTTTGTTCCTGCTCGCTCTAGCCAGTGTTCAAGAATAGGCAACTGGCAACTCTAAAGGAGGGTTTATATGTAAACTCAAGACCCTGGGAGGCTGAGGCACAAGTTTGAGGTAAGCCTGGGCAATTTAGCAACATCTTCTCTCAAAATAAAAAAAAAAAAATTTTTGAAAGTCTGTGGGTGTAACACAATGTGAAAGCTCTGATTCCAACCCCAGTAATGCCAAAAAGAAATTTTTAAAGAGTAGGGTGTATGTGTATGTAAAATCATGTGAACTTGACATTTATATTCCGTTCCATTTTGAAAGATGAACATAGAATGGCATGCTTCAGGGGGTTTGGGTGCAGCTCAGTAATACAGTAATTGCTTTGTGTGTGCAAAGCCAAGGATTCAATCTCTATCACTACAAAAAAAAAAAAAAGGCTTACTTCTGCTGTTTCAAGTTGTGCCTGTACATGAGAGGCAGAGGAGAAGTTAGTTATCAGGTTGGGGTTGGAGGTGAAGAACTGCTGGATCTATTTCCATGTCTGTATTTCAACTCACAGTGGGTAGAAAGTCACTTGACCACCACTGATTTTGCCCAACAAGTCCTTCAGCTTTTCCCACCCCAAATTCACTGTTGCCATCTTCGTCTTCCTGACAAATGTGCTCTTAGAGTCTAGGTGTTTAGACTTTTAATAAGTTATAATTACATTTATAACTCTAAATAAAACGTGGTGCTGTCTTAGGGAAATGATTTTTTTGGTTGAGTTTGTCAGACCACAGTAAATTTATAGCTTGCATTTATAAAAACTTTGCCTTTGAATCTTTACTATGACATAGGACAAGCTGCTAAAGTGTGGTTAAGAACAATTTGTTTAAGAGCCTATAGAGCATTAAAGGAACACGCAATTGACTTAAATGAGGGTAGTCATGGGGATTGAAACTACCTTTAATTTTAGTTCAATGTACTGTTTGTCTATCTGTAAAGATTAATTTCTATGGATTTCGTTTGTGTTGGTTATAAACTTTTAAGCATTGTATTCTCCAAACCCCTCTCGGTTAAGAAGTTTCGTTGTAAAGTACTGTGGCACTTCATGCTGTTTCAATTCAGAATAATTTCAATAGCTTGCAATAAATAATTTTTCATAAAATAACACCTTTAAAATTGACTGTGTACTCTACACTATTTTATGGTACTATTTAAACATTTTTCTATCTAATCCTATTACCAGGATGATGATTTAATGACAAGTTTAATGCATATTGGTAACAATGTACAATATGGATAATAATGGACCTTACATAGTAAGAAATTAAACAAAACAGAAACTTGTTGCTAGCATAGATTTGTGAACTATTGCTCAGATGTATACAATTCTAAGTAAACCATCTTCTAAAATAATGGTGACGCCTAACCAGAAATCAGCTTATGTTCAAACATTTAAACATGTTTCTTCTCACTGTAAGATCAACAGTGCTAAATCAATGACAGAATTATAGTATTATGTTCTTAAACTGCTCAAGTGTTTATAGGTTTAAATATCTAGTTTAATGTTTTCTCATCACACATTTTTCTTTAACTATACACATGAAATAAATATTTCACTCTGTTACAGACTTTTAAGGCATTGCTCAAATGTCATGAGGATCCCACAAAAATATTTA